AAGCTGGTCTCGGTGGCTCAGTCTGTAATCCCACGCCTTTGGGAGGCTGAGGTGAGTGGATTGCCTGAGCCCACGGGTTCAAGACCTGCCTGGGCAGCGAGACCTCATCTTTACAATAAATTAAAAAATCAGCCGGGCGTGGTAGCGCATGCCTGTAATTCCGGCTACTTGGAAGGCTGAGGCGGAAGGACCCCCAGAGCCCAGCAGGTGGAGGCTGCGGTGGCCGGGAGCAGCCACTGCACTCCAGTCTGGGCGACAGAGTGAGACTCCAACTCAAAAAAAAAAAAAAAAAATTAGCTGGTGCCATACACCTGTAGTTCCAGCTACTTGGAAGGCTGAGGCAGAAGGATCACCTGAGCCTAGCAGGCCAAGGCTGCTGTGACTGTGAGCATGCCACTGCACTCCAGCCTGGGTGACTGAGACTCCAACTCAAAAAATAAGAAACCTCTTACTTGTCTTGGTTTCAAATGGAAAACTCTAACTTCAGCTCTCTCTGCCTTTTGGACACCTCCTCTCAGCAGCCATGGTGCATTTGGTGGCAGGCCGGGTCCCTGCCTTGACTGAATGAGAATACTGTTGCAAAGAGAGCAGAATGGTAAGACACTGTTGCAATCTGTCCTGCCCTGAGGCACCCTCCAGAAAGGTTGCCCCCTTGCAGCTTTTCCAGCTGTGAGTTTGAAGTGAGGGCCCATTTTATGAACCTAGAATGATGGGAAAACAGCTAGGACATGCTAGAGAGATGCCCTGCTTTTTTCTGAGCTAAGTTAGAGTTTTCCATTTGAAACCAAGAAACTCACAATTATGAATTTTTCTTGGAACTGACCCTGAGCCAGTGCCACAGGTTCAGGGAGGAAGTAGACCCATCACACCCTTGAGCAGGTCACGGTCTGGTAGAGGAGCACAGTCATACACACCTCTATTTATTGTGAGCCTATATGAAGAATGTGCATGCCAGTACAGAGAGGAGGGTGGTACCAACTCTGCACATCAGTTCTGTGTTCACTTCGGAGACCAGGTGTGTGGGGGTTTTTTTGTTTTTGTTTTTCCCCCACACCAAGCAACTCTCCACTAGACACCAACTGGTTGACCTGTAATTCATTTATGTTATTCACCTGAAGATAGATAGCATACACTCCCACAGGTTAAGGACTCAGTCCCAAAAGACTACCCTCCACTTTAGATACCAATTGTAAGTTGTAAGGAGGTTGTGACATGTGGTCGGGGTTCCCAAGATCCCCCGCCTTGAGTTTGATAATTTGCTAGGACGATTCTGTGATATTTACTGGTTTAGTATAAAAGATGTCACAAAGGATACAGATGAACAGCCAGATGAAGAGGTGCATAGGGCAAGGTGTGGGGGAGTGGACATGGAACCCGTGCCTCCTGGACATTTCAACCCGGGGCACCTTTGGTGTTCAGCAACCCTGTAGCACATCAGATCTTGTTCAAGAGTTTTTATGGAGCTAAATCTCCAGCCTCCACGCGTTTCCTGAAGGTTGGTGAATGGAGCTGAAAGTTCCAACCCTCTAATTCTCTAATCACTTGGTCTTTCCGGAGACTGGCCCCATCCTGAGGCTATCTAAGGGCCCTAACCTAAACCACCTCATCAGCATAAATTTAGGCATTAGGAAAAGGAGCTCATTATGAATCACAAAAGACGCTCTTATCACTCAGAAAATTCAGTTAAACTCAAGGGTTTACCCAATATATTTCATAATATGTCCTACAGCAGGAGAGTACTGAAAGAAGAGTACAATTTAAATAAGGGGGGAAGGAATCAGCATGAATAAAAGCCCAGAGGTTAAGTAAGTTAAGAAAAAATAAAAAATAAATTACCGGGTCTCGTAGAAGTAGAGAGTAGAATGGTGGCATGGTGGTTACTAAGCTGGGGAGGAGGGAGCGGTGTAAGGGTTTTTTTGAGTCGGAGTCTCACTTTGTCGTCCAGGCTGTCGCACACTCACGGCCACTGCAGCCTCGACCTGCCGGGCTCAGGCGATCCTTCCGTTTCAGCCTTCCAAATAGCTGGGAGTACAGGCGCGCGCCAGCACGACCACTAATTTTTTTTGATTTATTGTAGAGACGAGGTCTCGCCCTGTTGCCCAGGCTGGTTTCGAGCGTGGGCTCAGGCAATCCTCTCGCCTCCACCTCCCAAAATGCCGGGATTACCAGCGTGAACCACCGAGCCCGGCCTGCGGAGATGTTAAAACAACACACACTCAGTTCTCGAGTGCGGCTGGGACACAAAGATGCCAGTGGGTGGGGCAGGAAGGGCAGACGTGGATGTACATTTGACCTGAGTCACCCTGCAAGGCCTGGGAGGCCCAGGAGGTTTCTCCATACATCGTGGGATTTGGTAGGCTTGGCCCCAGGGGAAAAAGCCGCGGTCAAGTTTTGAGATCACTCGACTTGGGGAAGGACAGGCTGACGCTGTGCTAGACATTTTCTTTCACCCAACAAGTATTTGTCGAGTGCCTATTAACGTGCTGGAGCTGTTCTGCGCACTGGGAACAGCGATGAAGCAACAGTTCAAACCTTTCCTGAGAGCCAACCTCCACGTTTTACGGAAGAGGCAACTTCGGCTGGAGGGCGGCGTTGCGTTGGGCAGCCCCTTAGCTGTCCCAACACACGTGGGCCAGTCTCCGTCCGGCTGCGCGCGCCGCCTGGGCCTCCCCAGCGCCCCGCCTGTCTCCGCGTCAGCCCCCCAAGCCCGACCCACACGTGGGTTCCAGCACGTCCGCCGGCTCCCCCCTCTGACGTCAGCCTAGCTGATCCTCTTAAGGCCCCTCCCGCGCCCGGCGCCGAGTGCTGGAGCCGCTGCCGCCGAGTCCGGATCTCGTTTCTGCGCGCCCCCGACGCCCGCCAGACGTGCACTCCCGGTACGGTCGGCCCCGGCGCGCACTGCGCCCGCGGGGGAGGGAGAGCGAACAGCCTCGGGCTCCGCGGCGCTGCTCGCGACGGGGTCCTGGCTCCCGGGAGGTGGAGGCGCCTCTTCCCAGAAGCAGAGTCCCGAGACCTCTGGGCGGTGGCCCGCACCACGCGTGGGTTCGGGGTCCGCCGCGCCCTGCTTTTGCTCTAGGCGGGAACAGTGGCTTCTGGCCGCGCCGGGGAACCGAGGACTTGCCGCACCCACCCTGGGGTCGAAAGCCCGGGTGGATGCGGAAGAAGTAGCAGGCGATGGGTCTATAGGGCGGGGGTAACTCTGGGTTTGAACTTTAGGCTTGAAATCGGCGAACCGCACAGAACTCGGGATGCGGTTCCCGGAACCCGTAGGCCTCGGCGTGTTCGGGGCGGCTTCTTGGAAGCCGGAAAACGGCCGAGCGCCGCACGGGTTGCATTTTTCTCCTGGGACGCTCGAGAGATGGGCTCCGTGGAAGTGGCTGCTGCCTGGAGATTATGGGGCGCTCTCCGCGCAAAGGATACAGATTAAGCAGCTGCGGGTGTATCCCGGCTACGCTAAGCGCGGGGCGCACGAGGATGGCAGAATCCCAGCCCTCCCGCACCTTGGTCGGCTTATTGAGAGTAGGGTCTTGCGGTACCATCCCCTCCTTTTAACAGACGGGGAAACCTAAAGCTGAGAGACGTTTAGGACAGAAGGTCATAATGAGTAGGTGGCAGAGGTGGGGGAAGACCTCCTTTCTTCAGGGCTCTCGCTACCAGACGCACCCTCCCCCCACCCCGTGTTCTCTCACCCCAGCCCCTCCGTTGAAGGGAACATTGGAGCACTGGCCCGAGGGTCTAGTGAAGCCAGCAGGTCTCTGCAGACTCTCCCTTCCCCCGCCAGGCTAGAAACCTTACAAGGCTGTCTAGAAATAGCAGCGATTTGTAAGGAGAGACCTTATTCCATCTTGGTGACTCTGGACTGCCTTCCTGGCGATCCTCTCGGACTTTTGCCCTTTGGGGCGATGTCAAAACTAGACGATGTGATTTGGGGATGCAACCTGTGAAATTCCCTCCGGCGAATGCAGTGCAGGGTTGGATTAACAGTGGAAAGCCCTTCCCCAGGTCTAGCATTAGAGGGTTCCAAATATGAGTTTAGGGCACCAGGCTTCAGGCCCTCAGCAGTTATTTCTCCACTTCTTGTACTGAAAACATTTCCGCATAGCGTGCCTCACACCTTTGCAACAAGGATCACGGCCGAAGCCATATCCGGTTGGTTAACAGCTCCTGGTTCTTGGTAGAGGGATTTTAAGTCTGGCGGTGGCCGCGCGCCAGGCCTGGCTGCCTGCCAGCGGGCCTTCACGTGGCTGGTGTCTGCTCGCAGGGCCCTAACTAGGTCTAAAGTCTGAATCCCCTTTGACCCACAGAGCAGGAGAGCTCCCGATTGTCTCTGCTCACGGGCGGGGCTTCCCCGCAGTCCGCCGTCTGGTACCGTGCCCACCTCCCAATGGCCAGCGGCCTCTAGACTCGTCTGTCCCAGCGCTCCGAAAGGCGCATGCGCGCAGGTTTCCGGGGCCCGCTAATCTTCCGGCTCTGGGCGGGGCGTAGAGTCGGAGCTGTGGGTCCGATCTCCGCCCCTTCTTCGGGGGTGGGCAGGAGAGCAAGTCAGCGCGCTTGCGCAAAGTTCATCACACGTTCCTCTGCATTGGGATGGAAACCTGTAGCCGTTAATACTTGTATCTGCACGTGTCTCTGGTCCTTACAAGAGGGGCGTGGCAGTGCACTTGAGTGACTGAAGGAGAGCTGGGCAGGTGGCTCGCGGTGATCTTATCCGAGAAAAGCCCGGCCCCACTTGGGGTTAATAAACCAAGATGAGTGAGCCTTCAGGAGGTTATACATACACCCAAACGTCGATATTCCTTTTCCATGCCAAGGTGAGGTCCTTCACTCTGAAACCCTAGCCCGAGCAGAACCTGGTATTAGGCCTTTCGGCTCTCCTTTGGTTACATCTAGGGTTTTTCCTCTTCCTTTGTAGTCATGTCATGTGATTTTTAGTTGCAAGCACCCAAAAAGAAAGTTAAATAAGCTTTTTCCAGGATAGGTCTTGGTTAATAAACATTGAGAGGATGCAGTGACACGAAATGCTTTTCTCCCGTATAGATTCCTTTTGGTTCAAAGTCCAATATGGCAACTCTCAAGGATCAGCTGATTCATAATCTTCTGAAGGAAGAACAGGCCCCCCAGAATAAGATTACAGTTGTTGGGGTTGGTGCTGTTGGCATGGCCTGTGCCATCAGTATCTTAATGAAGGTAAGTGAGAGTGCACCACTGTGGAAGCCTATACCTTGACCCCACCCTCTCCTCCCACACCCTCTCCAAGAATTGTATGATCACATTGTATATAAAAATATTTAGGTTCATTCACTTATTCAAAGAACTTTATGTGAAACAAACTTTTGAAGCATGATGACATATTAAAAGGGTATCTGAAATTAAAAGTATCAAAGGTTACCAGGCTGAATAGTCAGTTCCTAAAATTCACTGTCCTATGTTAACACGCAAGGATTATCTACCAGTGAAAAGGAAGGGTTTATGCCTTTAAATGAGCCAAAACTCCTTTTTTTTTTTGAGTTGGAGCCTCACTCTGTTGCCCAGACTGGAGTGCAGTGGCACGCTACCGGCCACCGCAGTTTCGACCTGCTGGGCTCCGGTTATCTTTCCGACTCAGCCTTCCAAGTAGTGGGAACTACAGGCGCGCACTACCACACCAGCTAGTTTTTCATTTATTGTAGAGACGAGATTTCGCCAAGTTGCCTGGGCGGGTCTCGAACCTGCGGTCTCAGGCAATCCACTTGCCTCGGCCTCCCAAAGTGTTGGGATTACAGGCTGAGCCACCGAGCCTGGCCGAGCCAAAACTCTTTTTTTTTTTTTTTTGAGTTGGAATCTTACTCTGTCACCCAGACTGGAGTGCAGTGGCCACTCCTGGCCACCGCAGCCTCGACCTGCTGGGCTCCGGTGATCCTTCCGCCTCAGCCTTCCGCGTAGCTGGAACTACAGGCATGCGCTACCACACCCGGCTAATGTTTGATTTATTGTAGAGATGAGATCTCGCCAAGTTGCCCAGGCGGGTCTCGAACCCTCGGGCTCAGGCAGTCCACTCACCTCAGCCTCCCAAAGGCATGGGATTACAGGCTGAGCCACCGAGCCCGGCTGGAGTTTCTTTTTAAATTAATTAATTATTTCACAGACAGCCATACAACAATATGGAGTTTCTTATTAGAGTAAAATGATGAATTCGAATTCTGGGTTCTGAATAGAATTGGGTTGAAATGAGAGAGGACTAAAGGCAGAAATGAGCTATGCAAAGGTCTTGTAACAACACAGGTTGCTCTATATGTGTTCTTAAGAGAGGCCACATAATACACCAACTTTCAGGGTTTACCCACTGGATCAGAAATTGATGCCATCTGTTTTCCTCCACACCTACTAACCGCCTATAGTCTTTTTCTGTGATGGTCTCTGACTCAGATGTGGGTGAGAATAGCAACTGCCAGACTACTCATTGTATTGTAGATAATGTGGGATAGATCTGTAGCTGGAATAACCTTTTTGATAATGACTGACCACATTTATTTTAAAGCTATGGTTGGTGCTCCTGGTTTGAGATGCACCTATAAACCTTTAGATTCAACTATACAGATATTTTTTGCCAATATTATTCAATGCATGAATCTGTATATAAAACTGTTAGTGTTGGTTCATATCTAGAAACAGAGAATGGTCCAGAATATTGTTTTTTAATTCCAAGAACTCCTGTAAATGTTGCTCTGGTGGGGAAATGGGGCTGGAGAAAGGGTTAGTGCTAGCTACATGTGGGGGTACCTGTGAGTCATTTTTTAAAATGGGGGCTGCTTCTACTTTGAAGTATCTCCTGATACTGTACTAATGAAGTGGCAGAACTCTCTTGTGCCAGAAATACATAAATTTTTTTATGCCCTTCTAAATATCTGGAAGTAGCATTTTCCCATTTAACTAAAGATCTTATGTCTTTTAGGACTTGGCAGATGAACTTGCTCTTGTTGATGTCATGGAAGACAAATTGAAGGGAGAGATGATGGACCTTCAACATGGCAGCCTTTTCCTTAGGACACCAAAAATTGTCTCTGGAAAAGGTTGGTTTTGATAAGTTTATATTGTAGTTCATGCTAGACTTAAATTCTTTATCAGGTTTGAAATCCTGGCTCTACAAAGATTTTTTAAAATGCCGGTTATGAGAGCTTTGGAACAATTTTCCACTGGAGCTTGTGACTATCAAAGCTTCAATTTCTAATAAATGACTTAAAATGGAAATCTAAACTTAATGAGTAAAGCTGCAAACCTTAGGTTTATATTTGACCACATTTGTTCAGACTCTTAAGTTAAATATAATTACTCCTCCCACATCTTTTCACACATATAACACAAGACTGAGAATATAGTTAATGAGCCTGTTCAGCAAATATTCTTGGCTTGACCCTTTCACACTTTACCAGCACTAGCCAGAAAACCTGGATAGAATGTGGGCCCAAATAATGTCTGTTTTGATATTTGACAGCCATTGGCTATTTACTTGATTGTTGACTCCCTTCATCCCTGGGTTAACTGTCTTGTGCCAACAGGGCAAAACATGCTTGTTGGGCGTAAAGGTGTCTCTGCCTTAAAAAAAAAAAAATTGCTGGACTCGGTGGCTCAACCTGTAATTCCAGCACTTTGGGAGGCCAAGGTAAGTGGATTGTTTGAGAGCCACCCGGGCCACTTGATGAGACCTCACCTCTACAATAAATAAAAAAAAAAAATTAGCCTGGCATGGTAGCACACGTCTGTAGTTCCAGCTACTTGGAAGGCTGAGGCAGAAGGATCGCCGGAGCCCAGCAGGTCGAGGCTGCGGTGGCCGGGAGTGGCCACTGCACTCCAGTCTGGGCGACGGAGTGAGACTCCAACTCAAAAAAAAAAAAAAAAAAATTGCATGGGCTGATAGGGCAACAGTTAAGTAGTTAAGTGAAAACAGAAGTCTGAAGAGTGTGAACATTGAACTCAAGTAGCAAAAAATTGCAGGATGTATAAGGAATTGATATGGGAATGAAATAATACGCTTGATTCCTTCCAGCTCTCCTCAGTCATAATTATATAAAGTTACAAAGTGACTAAAACTAGAAAATAAGGAATGTTCTTCCTCCATTTAAGGGGTCACAATGATAAAACTCTAAAAACTAAAGGAAGGACCTGGGGGGCAGTAGGGGCACTTATCTGCCAATGTACATAAAACCCTGATAAAATGGTCCATACAAGAAGTTTATGGAACAAGTTTTGCTGTCAAAGTAAAAGAATTCTCTTAAATGCCTCAGTCTGGTCATTGTTTTTTCTCTAGACTACAATGTGACTGCAAACTCCAAGCTGGTCATTATCACAGCTGGGGCACGTCAGCAAGAGGGAGAAAGCCGTCTAAATTTGGTTCAGCGCAATGTGAACATCTTTAAATTCATCATTCCTAATGTTGTAAAATACAGCCCAAACTGCAAGTTGCTTGTTGTTTCGAATCCAGGTAAGACTTTTAACTGCATTTACTGCAGAAAATAGACACACCTGTAATCCTAGCACTTTGGTAAGTGGAGGCAAGAGGATTACCTGAGGCTGGGGGTTGAAGACCAGTCTGGACAACTTGGCAAGACCTGGTCTCTACGATAAATAAAAATGTGCTGGAGCCGGGCTCGGTGGCTCAGCCTGTAATCCTGTGCCTTGGGAGGCTGAGGTGAATGGATTGCCTGAGCCTGCGGGTTTGAGACCTGCCTGGGCAACTTGGTAAGACCTCATCTCTACAACAAATCAAAAAAATTAGCCAGGTGTGATAGCGCGTGCCTATAGTTCCAGCTACTTGGAAGGCTGAGGCGGAAGGATCGCCAGAGCCCAGCAGGTCGAGGCTGCAGTGCAGTGGCCGGGAGTGGCCACTGCACTCCAGTCTGGGTGACAGAGTGAGACTCCAACTCAAAAAAAAAAAAAAAAAATTGGCTGGGTTTGGTAGTGCATGCCTGTAGTTTCAGCTACTTGGAAGGCTGAGGTCCAAGATCATGTTTGTGAATAATAGCTGTTTGCTTAAATGATACATGGTTTATTTTCATAAAATTTATCAGTTAGTCATGATAAATACTAAGATATATACAGAGCAATATATCTTGAATAGGTAATCATTATCTAATGATTCACCTAATATCTTTGCCTAAATGTTTTCTTCATAGTGGATATCTTGACCTATGTGGCTTGGAAGATAAGTGGCTTTCCCAAAAACCGTGTTATTGGAAGTGGCTGCAATCTGGATTCAGCCCGATTCCGTTACCTAATGGGAGAAAGGCTGGGAGTTCATCCACTGAGCTGTCATGGGTGGGTCCTTGGAGAGCATGGGGACTCTAGTGGTAAGCATAAGTTATTTTTTTTGTTTTTAAAAAGGTTGTATAAAAAATTGACAGGCAAAACCAAGGTAGGAGGATTGCTTGAGGCCAAGAGTTTGAGACCAGCCTGGGCAACATAGTGAGGCCTTGTCTCTATAAAAAGTTTAAAAATTTAGATGAGTGTAGTGGCACACATTTGTAGCCCTAGCTACTTGGGAGGCTGAGGTGGGAGAATTGCTTGAGCCCAGGAGTTCAAAACTGCAGTAAGCTATGATCATGCAGTTAGATAGCTTGAGGCTAGGAATTTGAGACCAGCTTGGATAAGACCCTGCCTTTACAAAAGTTTTAAAAATTAGCCTGGCATAGTTACGTGTGTTTGTCCAGAAGTTTGAGGTTACAATGAGCTGTGATTGTGCCACTCTGCCACTATACTTCAGCCTGGGTGGACCCTGTCTCTAAAAAAAAAAAAAAGCTAGCAAGAAACGAATATATAAGGATTAAATATTCTAATAGGTTAGGAAAAGATGTTAGAATACAGTGAACCTTTTTTTATATACTGTAAGTAAATGAAAATCTAATCTAGAAGTGACTAAGGACCGTATTGGTAGTCTTGACCTAAATGTTTTCTCCCAGAAGGGAGTAATCCTTCTAAGCTAAGAGAATTAGAAAAATGGGTCACAATTACTAATCTGTTGGTACATGAAAATAAGTGTATTCTGTACTTTATCTTTTAGTTCCTGTATGGAGTGGAGTGAATGTTGCTGGTGTCTCCTTGAAGAATCTGCACCCAGATTTAGGCACTGATACAGACAAGGAACAGTGGAAAGAGGTTCACAAACAGGTTGTTGAGAGGTAATAGAGCTCATAACTTGACAACATGGAAGGCTAAAATTTATTACTTTTATTTAAAAGACTAAAATTAAAATAACGTTTGCATTTGAGAACTTTCTGTTAGAGAGAACACTTGTTTGTTAAGGGTCATATTCTAAAAACAGATTTAAAAAAAGAGTGGCTAGAATAAAAAATAATGGCAGCCCCAAATGCTAATAAGGATGTGGAGACACTGGGTCACTCATACATCACTGGTGGGAATGTAAAATGAATCACCACTCTGGAAAATAGTTTGACAGTTTCTTTAAAATTAAAAAGTGGATTTGGCTGGGCTCAGTGGCTCAGCCTGTAATCCCAGCACTTTGGGAGGCCAAGGCTAGTGGATCGCCTGAGCCCGTGGGTTTGAGACCCACCTGGGCAACTTGGTGAGACCTCGTCTCTACAATAAATCAAAAATTAGCTGGGTGTGGTAGCATGCGCCTGTAGTTGGAAGGCTGAGGCGGAAGGATCATCGGAGCTCAGCAGGTCAAGGTTGCGGTGGCCAGGAGTGTGCCACTGCACTCCAGTCTGGGCGAGAGTGAGACTTCAACTCAATAAAAAAAGGTGAGGCCGGGCTCGGTGGCTCAGCCTGTAATCCGGCGCCTTTGGGAGGCTGAGGTGAGTGGATTGCCTGAGCCCGTGGGTTTGAGACCTGCCTAGGCAGTGAGACCTCATCTCTACAATAAATAAAAAAATCAGCCAGACATGGTGGCGCATGCCTGTAATTCCGGCTACTCAGAAGGCTGAGGCGGAAGGATCACTGGAGCCCAGCAGGTGTGGCTGCGGTGATCGGGAGTGGCCACTGCACTCCAGTCTGGGTGACCGAGTGAGACTCCAACTCAAAAAAAAAAAAAAAAAAAAGGTGGATTTATCATACAACCCAGCAATTGCAGATAATAGATCCCAGAGAAATAAAAACTTACTAACTTTTACAAATTGTTGCGATAGGGACGCTTTTGGCTTGGTGGCATTATTCACCTATGTGGTTATGTGTGGACCTTATGTCTGTAGAATTGAAGATGAATCATAATCCTTGCTTCATGACATAGTCTCATGATTGGTCTAGCCAAAGTCCTCTTATTTGTATTTGTTTAAATAAAACCTATGAACTCACCACCCAACTCAAACACTGACATTAACTGTCCAATAACTATAGTGTTTTTTGAGACATAATTACTAGTCTGCTTGTGTTTGGAAATGAGTAAATTCTGTGTTTCTACTTGAGATAATCCTGAGTCAATTATTATATGTGTAATTTTGGATTTTTAAAAATTCAATATCCACCGGGTTCAGTGGCTCAGCCTGTAATCCCACGCCTTCGGAGGCTGGGGTGAGTGAATTGCCTGAGCCTGCAGGTTTGAGACCCGCCTGGGCAACTTGGTGAGACCTCATCTCTACAATAAATCAAAAAATTAGCTGGGCATGGTAGTGTGTGCCTGTAGTTCCAGTTACTTGGAAGGCTGAGGCAGAAGGATCTCCAGAGCCCAGCAGGTCAAAGCTGCGATGACTGGGAGCGGCCACTGCACTCCAGTCTGGGTGACAGAGTGAGACTCCAACTCAAAAAAATAAAAAATAAAAATTCAATATCCAAGCCATTCAATATCCAGGCCAGGTGTGGTGGCTGATGCCTGTTATCCTAGCACTTTTGGAGGTGGGAGAATTGTTTGAGCCCAAGAGTTTGAGACCAGCTTAGACAACAAAGTGAGACCTCATGTCTACAAAAAAAAAAATGAACCCGACATGTGCCTGTAGTTCCAGCTACTTGGAAGACTGAGGCAGAAGAATCACCTGAGCCCAGCAGGTTGAGGCTGTGGTGGCTGTGAGTGGGCCACTGCACTCCAGCCTGGGCGACAGAGTGAGACTCCAACTCAATAAAAAAATAATAAATCATTCAATAGTTTTTTAGGTAACAATAGTTAATTTGTTTTGACAGCTATATAATGTTCCATTCTATGAAGATACCACAATTTAGCCATTCTGTTGGAGGGCATTGGGTGGGTTGTCATGTTTTTACTATATAGCAGTACTGTTATGAACATCCTTATGCTCAGTATCTTGATAATATAAGTGCTAATCATAACTAGTACATGCAAAGGTTACTCTTAGATATATAATGGATCAATGGCATTATTCACTATAAAATGTGTTTAGTGAAAGCGTTGTTTTTCTTTTTCCTCCTATCCTCATTTTTTTGCCCTTCCCTTTCATTCCCCTTTCTATCCTGCAGTGCTTATGAGGTGATCAAACTGAAAGGCTATACATCCTGGGCCATTGGACTGTCTGTGGCAGATTTGGCAGAAAGTATGATGAAGAATCTTAGGCGGGTGCATCCAATTTCCACCATGATTAAGGTAGGTCTGTGTAGTGATACACTGTATTTGAATGCTTTGTTTCCTGGTTTTTAAAAAATTGTTCTGAGAAAACCGATTAATGTAAATCCTCAATCACTGATTTAAGTGAAATGTACCTCCAACTTTTTTTTTTTTTGAAAGAAATAGTTGAATTGTTGGGTTTTTGTTGTTGTTGTTGTTGTTGTTTGAGTCAGAGTTTCACTCTGTTGCCCAGCCTGGAGTGCAGTGGCATACTCATGGCTCACCACAGCTTCGAACTCCTGGACTCAAGCAATCTCCTTCTACCTCAGCCTCCTAAGTAGCTGGGACTACAAGTGCATGCAGCCTTGTCTGGCTAATTTTTTGATTTTTTTTTTGTAGAGATGAGGTCTTGCTATGTTGCCCAGAGTGGTCTTGAACTCCTGGGTTCAAGCAGTCCTCTGTGAGCCACTACACCTGGCTCTTGTTGCTATTTTTAATTACTTTATTTTGTACTATTCAGTGTATCATAACTGAACATCTGGAAAGGAATTTGTTTATCAAGTTGTATTACATAAACTTCATCATTGTAGAGAATGTAAGTCTTAGGAAACACTGGAATGCATAAACAAATATAAAATATTTTTCATTTTGCCTTCAGGGTCTTTATGGCATAAAGGATGATGTCTTCCTTAGTGTTCCTTGCATCTTGGGCCAGAATGGTATCTCAGACCTTGTGAAGGTGACTCTGACTTCTGAGGAAGAGGCTCGTTTGAAGAAGAGTGCAGATACTCTCTGGGGGATCCAAAAAGAGCTGCAATTTTAAAGTCTTCTAATATCATACTACTACACTGTCTAGGCTACACCAGGATTTTAGTTGGAGCTTGTGCACGCTGTCCTTTTCACTTGATCTGTGATTAAAGCAGTCAATTAAGATGGACTGGGAAGAACATCAATTCCTAAAGTTAGAAATCGGAATGGTTCATAAAAATACAGCTATATCCTGATGCTGGATGGTACTTATCTTGTGTAGTCCTAAACTGGTTAGTATGAAATAGTTTACCACCTCTGAGGCACCACTGCCAATCTGCACATACTGCAGTTGCCCCTCAAATCACATGCGTATTTACTGTGTGTTATGTAACTTCCCGGTTCTTTCACCGAATATGCCTAGTCCAGCTGTTTTTCTCCCGTCGGTCACATCCTGGGATCCAGTGTATAAATCCAGTATTGCATGTCTTGTGCATAACTGTTCTGAAGGATCTTATTTTGTGTGCTATTTGTATCAGTAGTGTACATTACCATATAATGTAAAAAGAAAGATCAATGCAACCAACTATCCAAGTGTCATACCAACTGAAACATAAAATAAACCTTGAACAGTGACTACTTTGGTAATTCATTTTATTAAGATAAAGCCATAAAGCTGCTATTCATTAAATTATTTGGAAATAATAGGCTATTCTTGGGCAACCCTGTAAATATTTTTTTAAGGGGTACTATTAACTAATAGAAGGTATATATCAACTGGGTTGTTCTGGTACTACTTCCATCAAAACCAATAGCTTTACTTTACTAAGCCCCAAGGTATTATATGAGATTTATTTTTTTTTTTTGAGTTGGAGTCTCACTCTGTCACCCAGGCTGGAGTGCAGTGTCATGCTCATGGCTACCCCAGCGTTGACCTGCTGGGCTCCAGTAATCCTTCCGCCTCAGCCTTCCAAGTAGCTGTAACTACAGGCGTGTGCCACCATGCCTAGCTAATTTTTTATTATTGTAGATTGTAGAGACCCAATCTTGCCAAGTTGCCCAGGCTGGTCTCAAAGCTGCGGGCTCAGGCAATCCACTCGCCTTGCCCTACCAAAGTGCTGGGATTATAGGCTGAGCCACTGAGCCCGGCCAATATATGAGATATTTGATAAGTGCTAATGTAACTGGTACTCTACTATTCATGTATACAATTCAGTGGATTTTGAGTATAACCACATAGTTGACAACCCCTGCCATTATCTACCCTTAGAGTATTATAATTACCCCCAAAAGAAGCCTGTAATTCCAAAGTTTGTTTTTTTTTTTTGAGTTGGAGTCTCACTCTGTCACCCAGACTGGAGTGCAGTGGCCGCTCCCGGCCACCGCAGCCTCAACCTGCTGGGCTCCGGGAGATCCTTC